AACACCCCCTATAGTTTCATAGATTTACTAAAACCTACCTTATAGTTTGCATTTTACTAAAACACCCCCTATAGTTTACACTAGATTTACTTAATTGACCTTCCATTATTTAATAGTGGAAAATAACAGTTTTGACCTCAATGTTTATTTGAATAAATTTAATCAAAAGAAAATGAAAATGAAAATATCATTTTTTCCCTTGGTAAAACACGAGTAACCACTCTATTTGGCTCTATTTGGTCAATTTTGTTTTATGTATAAAGAAGTGTTAGGGGTTATTTTGGAATAAACAATCATGGGCCCTTGCCCTTGAACGTTTTTCATTCAGTTTAGGTGATCATATTACTATTTTCAGATGGCAAAACAAACACTTCTTAGTTAATGGTCGATTAAGTAAATAGGTTGTAAACTATAGRGGTGTTTTAGTAAAATGAAAACTATAGGGTAGGTTTAAGTAAATACATGAAATTTTAGGGGGTGTTCTAGTAAATGATCCTTTATACTATCTACTGCATTTTTTGATATTTTCAGTATATATTTCCAACATGGTTTAATTGATTTAAAATATCTTTCCTATTAGCACATAGACTTTATTGTTTGGCAACCAGGTTTTGTTTTTTAATTCCTACTTTCTGATTATGCATGGTGTTCACTATATTTTGAAAATTTAAAGTTTAAAATTTAGAATAAATTATATGAACTTTATTGGTCTACCTGGGGCCTGTTGGGGAAGGAAACCTCCATAGAGAAGAAATCCTCTGCCTATTGCAAGCTTGAGACTCAGATTCTCTTTAGGTTTGAATGGGTTGCAAGTAGAAGGAAATTTCCTAGTGGTGATTGCTCGATGTTCTCCAATACTAATGCACAGATGTTAAAAAGGGGAATAAAAAATGGAATAAGTAATCAAGTTTCTTTTGGATTTTCTTCTGGGAAGTTTCATCTTTTTGGGGAAGGAGTCAATTTTAGTTTTCTGGTGTTATTTTCTAGTTTATGGGTGTCATAGGAATTGAAACAAAATTATATTAAAAGGTAATTCATCAAAAAAAAAAAATTAAAAGGTTAAATTAGTTTAAGAGTTTTATTCAATAGTTGGAATTTGATAAGTTGAAGTTATAGGTTCATCATTACTTCTCTTGCAGTATGAGGTTAGTGATCAATCTTGTTCTTTTGGCTTGATTTTGGTGTCATAAGATTGAGGTCAAGAGCTTGCTAATTTGATGGCTGACTCTTTGGCAAAACAAGGGGTTTCAAGGGTTTTTTTATTTTGTGCTACCCCATGATTGTATTCTGTCAAGGGTTTGCTTATGCTCTCACCTTTAAGGGGAGGTAACATCTCATGCCTCCTCTTAGGGTGAATGTACACTTCCTTTCTTATTATTAATAAAATTGTTATTCATTTATAAAAAAAAAGAGCTTGTTAATTTGATGAGTTTTGAGTGAGTTCTGAACATTTGAGTTTCATTAATTGTAGTAGGATTACTGGTAGGTGTTTAGAGTTATTTTAGGAGTAAGTTTTTGGGTGTCTTCTTTGGTTTATCCTAATTTTAAAGTGGTTAAAGTTGTTTTTGGTCAATTTTTGAGTCTAAATTAGATTCTTTAAAGAGAGATCTGATTCCTTCTAATTCATACCACGTCTAAATGGCTCAGGGATCATCCACATGGAATGGCATGATGGGCCAAAAGAACCCCTGTTATTCCTTTCATTTCCTCTGTTGATGGGCCAATTTTTTGACCAAAATCTGTCACATGTTCAGAATAATCCATTTTTTTTCTAGACAGTTTTAAACTAAAAAAATTGAACCTCTGGATGGTCTATATCATCTGGTGAGAAGGGTCATGCACATAGATGTAGGGCTGAAGCAACCAGAAAATTCACAAAGAGCAACTAATTAAAGAAGCATTTACCGGCAATTGTTTGAAGAATGTTGATTAAAAGGAAAATAGAACAACCTCTTTGAAGCAATTGGCTAAAACTACCCTCCCATGCTCTTATTTAGGGCTAAAATCTATCGATTGGATTTCCAAAAATACCCTTACAAGGATTCTTTAAAAGAAAAGACAAAACTAGGTGTATCGTCATTTAGGTGAGTTGAACTGTGGGATCCAGTAGTCAAACATTTGATTTTGATAATTGACCAAAATCCACAATCTTCAAAAAAAAAAAAACTGCAAATATGTTTCAAGAAAGCGTGCTTCCACTCATCCAGTTTGGCTAAAACTTGGTGAGTATCTAGTCTCTAAGAGTGCTAACTTGTGATGAAATTTGGCTTTGGTTCACCAAGTAACTTGGGGAATACAGCCTGATTGCGTGGGGCTGCTATGCTGGACTGGTAGACAGTCACCTGTCCCACTTCTTTTCAGCTTCTGAGATTCAGTTAAAATCTAAACATGGTTGCATCACGGGCTGATGTGATGAGGCATTTGGTGCATAATGCTAAGGTCTCTAATGAATGGTTTGGATCAGCCACATTATCCCTCTAGATGGCAGGGATAAGAAAGGTTGTATGAGTTATAGGGAAAGCTTTTGTTAGTCAGGTCATTTGGTGAGATCTAGCAATCTTTGGCATGGTAACTTGGTTTCTCAAAAGGAATATCCAGATTCCTCTCTCCCCTCCTCATTCTTGGAAGAAGATTCAGCCCAAAAACCTTGTCTCATGTTCAAAATAGGACTTCTGTGTAAAACATTTTTTTATTAAAGTTAAAAGATGGATGACTTATACCATGCATTTATAGAAAACATAGATATTTTAGAAAACCAAATACATGTTATGGGATACATTACTTGCTGTTGTCATGCTTCTTACATGGGATTTTTGGCTATATCACTCTGTCTTTTTTTTCATGTAAAATTTCCATTGTTTCCTTATTGATTGCCATACCTAATAGTTATTACATATTCCCATGAACTTCTCATAAATTTGCACTTAAGGCTCAGTTTGGGAAGAGTATAAATACAAATATGTTCAGTGCAAAACCTTGTATTTTGTATATTTAAATGTATTTGCACTGTACATATTTGCATTTGTACTCTTCCCAAACTGAGCTTAATAGTTCTGCTTGCACGGAAAATGAAGTTCAAAAACTCTTTCATTCTCTTTCAAGGTACTTGTTTGCCTGGTGAGGTATTTGGGATTTATCAACTAGAAAAAAGGCAAAATTCTCTCTCAATGTTGTCAGACCCAGCTAATAAAATCTCATTCTTTGTCAAAATCTAGAGGAATTGATTAAAATATACCACTTGCAGAAGTTACAGAGTTTTAATCTTCCGTGATCTCCCCTGCCCCTCCCTCTGACCTTTAAAATCTGTGTATTTCCTCCTTTTGGCTGGGGAATGGGGGCTTGCTGGTACAAGATGATACAAAGCAAAAAATAATCCAAGATTGTGAATACAGGATGATCTAACATTGAGCATGCTGGAGAAGTGCAAGCATTCGCAGCCTACTTTGCAGTGGATCATAGAAAGCACCAATGATGATGACGATGCAATGTTCTTTGAGGCTCTAAATCTTCATGATGAGCTCCAACAGGCCATTTCAAAATACGAGGAGATGGAGTCTACAGCGCAGCCTGAAGAGCAACCACCCGAACATTCTGATGCTGATGGCAAATGCTTGCTTGAACAGGAAATGGAGCCTGCAGCAGTGCTAGAAAGGATACTACCTGAAAATTCTGATGCTTCTGGCAGAAGTTCACTAACACAGGTTGAAAACGAGAAAATGGCTTCAAATCTGCATTCCCCAAAGGAAGGAGTGAGCAGTGAAATCATCAATAACAAGAAAACGTTGGATGGAGGGAAATTGGTATTAGAATAATAGTTTGGAGGAAGTTGTTATTATGCTTTTCCCATGTATATAGGGAGTTTAATGATATGGACAAGGATAACACTATCAGCTGCTGAACATTTCTTGTTGATACTGTTACGGTTACTCGTATCTATTATATTTCTGCCTTGATAAATTCTGTGATTTTTCTACCAGATGCATGAATCCAGTTTCACTTTCTAGCTTTTGACCGTTAACCCCTAACCCCCTGCCTTGATAAATTCTGTGTTTTGTCTTAGTATTCGTTTCATGGTGTAATGACTGGATTCATGACAGATCTCGACTGATTATATCTTGTCTCAACCTATTTGGATTCGCAGCAGATCCTTGGCCAAAATATGCAATCATAGCGGATACAAGGCCAACTCTGATATATAAAGTTTCAAAAGTTACACAAATAAGTCGGTGAATAACCAGTTTCGTACCATTTAAAAGAAACACAAATACAACGAATGCACGGTGTTGCCTACTCAATCTGCCGGTGAAAACAAAGATGCTGAAATGGTTGTTCTTGTGACTTGTGAGAGGAAGACCCAGAAAGAAGAACCGAGCAATTTCTCTTAGGTGCATCTTTGGTGTAATGCTGCGGTTTAGAAAAAAACATTAGTCTATTAAAAGTAGGTTCTGGGTGTCATGGCTTAGCATCCAATCTTATATGGCGCAATGTGTGCCATCCGATTTTAAAATATGGGCACAGGGTAGTAACAATGAACCTCTATAAAAAAGAATCGCTGAATTGAATTCACATTCAAACATTCAACTCCGTAGTCCCTCAAAGGATGGCTGGATCCTTGTATCTTTTAAATATGGTCTCAATATCAGACATGATCTCAGGTGGCAAAGGACGCTCGGTTGTTAGAAAAGCATCAATGTCTTCTTTCAGTTGGTCAACAGAAGTTGCACCAATGATCGAACTGGTTACAAATGGACGGTCCCGAACATATCCAAGTGCGAGCTGAACAGGGGTAAGGCCATGTTTCTTGGCTAACTGGATATAAAGTTCTGTTGCCTCCTGTGAATCATATGCAAATACAATATCATCAGCCTGAGCTCAACAATAATAATTTTCTTAAGATCATATTCTTTTTAACAGTTTCAAATTAAGTTATACTAACTTGCAGTTAAATAAACTGAGAACAAGTTCAACGTAATCTACCCATCCAATCTCTGTGTGCGTGTAATCATGTAACTAACATGGAAGATTCCATATACAGGAACAGAAGACAAGGTTTTCGACATATAGTGATCCATCACAAAAAAGGAAAAAACAAGGTTTCCGACATACAGCGGAAGCGTAGCTGAAATATATAGCATGATATTTACAAATGGAGAATAGAATAAACCCGTATTATGAAAAGAAAGTTGGCATGCACCTGTATAATTCCATTTATCACCAAGCATTGCAGATCAGTTTAAGAACCCCAAAACAAACACCAAACTAGAACATTGATGATTGACCTGCTAACCTTTGGATAAGATCCCATTAGATGATGCACACCCAAAAAATGGAGGCAATCAGGAGATTTTAAACTTTCCTATCTAGAGATAGTTTTTTGGTGGTTAAAGGAGCAAAGCTAACAGGGAGATTATCTAATTACTTAGTTATACATCATTTAAAAGGTGGCTAACATGTACAATAATGAATTTGGGCCACAAATGTGCAGTGGCATTGGATATGAAGGGTTCTGTATCTATACTCCATACATGCTCACCCCATGTAGTGGCCAGATAATTGATGCCTAAAATAAGACAAGGTTTCATTACCTTTTCCAGACTGACCATGCTGACATGCATCTAAATAAGTTTTACATATTCCACGTGTCTGATACAAGTTACAGTATAGAGTGTCCATTTTATTATTTTTTTACAGCTAAGAGGCTGCTTTTGACATGTTGTATCTGGCATCCAAAAGCAGATTCATTTCACCACCAGAGGCAATCAGGAAAAAACACATACCTTGGCAATGGACTTGTTGTATCTCTCCATGTACCCAGGGAAGAGGTTGAGCCTTCCTTTCTTTGCAGCTTCGGAAGTAATGTCTAAATATTTTCCAGTCAAGGATCCACCACCAAGAGGGGAGTAAGCGAGTAAGCCAATATTGCAATTGTTAGGATGGCATACTTCAACCAGATCAACTGTAAAGGACAATATGAATACAAGTTATATTAAAATTACCCAAAATTTACAACAAAGGCTCCAATTGGGGCTGATATTATATTGAACTCCCAGAATTTAATTGTTCTTCCTAAAATAAATCTATTCCTAATAAACCTTAAAAGTGGAAATTTCTAACAAGTACTAGGCCATAGTTCTCAAGGCAGTAAGGCAATGCTAGGCAATTGTAGGGTACCTTGTCACTAGACGAGCAAACAGATAGGAGTCAGGATTCTCCATTATTTTTGGGGTGGGGGGAGGGGGGCTACTAGAATAGGGGGTCAGCTCCTATTACCTCCAACATGTATAAAAGATGTTTTTATAACTTATTATTATTATTTTTGGGTGCTTCCTTTGTCTCAACCCCTGAAAAAGACATTGAACTCTTCAGTATGTTTTCCAAGTTTACATGGAATATTTTCTGCTTTTCAATATGAACAAGAATTTCACACATTAAGAGACAATTATCATAAATTATATAAAGAAACAGTATATGGAAYCATGAATTTCAACATAGGAGGCAGAGCAGAGATGGTTCTTTAGTTTTTAAACCTAAGAGGATTCTTGTGTATGGGCTTGAATTTCTCTATGAAGTCCTGCTTATACCTTGTCTTTAAGCAGACCTCATAATTAACACACTATAGTATGCTGAGAAATCTAATGACATATTCAAGCATTCTTTGATGCAAAGCTTGTAATGAAGATAAAAAATTCCGCAAAAGGACCATTTTGAGGAAAGGTAACTGATTGTACAAGGCAGAAAAGTGTAATTAAGATGATGAACAATCCTGCACAATATATGGATAACAAGCCCTTCCCTTACAGAAAACTATGTTCACAAAAAGTTGCCACTAAATAATGAAACCCTCCATAGCCCAGATTTAGCAAGAAACTCCACTATTTAGTTTTAACTCTCTAGGAATCCATGCAATCTGGACAGATTTAGCAGACATGGTTTCTCTCAACTCATTTAGATAATGGGCTAGGTATAGAGGACCCAACCCATATTTTAACTACATTTTAAAGCATTAGCAGATTCCTAAAATAGCTAATGATGTATGGACTTGCTTTCCTCATCTTTTCTTTTGTTGAGTTGTCATTGTCAATGGTATGCTGAAGGTCCAGAAGGACCACATTCATCCATAACAATGTAAATACACCATGATTTTTTTTAATTGGTGTATATACACCATATTCTGACCACAATGAAGCAGTTACCTCCATTTACCCATATTTTTTACAAAGGAAATGCATTTCAGTAAGTATATTTCATTTATTGTTACTATGCATAGCTTGTTTCTTCCTTTATTCCCTTTACCTATTGATATTCATTTAACAGAGCATTAAATTTCTTACGCATCATATCAAATTAATTTATTTCTTTTTTCCTTTTCAACTAATATTGTATAATCATATTCTTCTTGTTTGCTTTAGAAATAAAAATGAGAAATGCATAAGCACATCCTCAATTCATTTACTAGTAAGTTTCATTTACTGTATCTGCTATTCTGTTGGGCTACTAATGTTGATATTGGGATAATATACCTTCAGCCATGCATAAACAAATTAAATCTGTCCAACTATGTTAATTCAAGGAATAGCCATTAAAAGTACCATAACCATGGTCAGTGTATATGACGCAAAACTGATTCCTAAGCAGTTCAATAGGCCCTAGAGAATGACCCATATATCTTTTAGGTTCTTGTCCTTGTCGTGTTTCCCCACATTTCCATCTTTTTAGGGCCAAATCTTCTATTAGATTATAGGCCCAGTCTCCTGTTACCACATCCACCCGCAAACTTTTTGGCCTTGACTTTTCCCTTTCAGAACCTTAAATGTCCACCAAATCTCTTCTCACTCATGCAGTCATTGTCTTCAGTGCATATGATGAAACCATCTCAGAATCCTCTTCTCAGATAGTATCATTCTATGTATGTTTTGTTTCTCGATGACTGGATTACCTCTATGAATTCTCTAGTTTACCTTTATGATATTGAATAGAGTTAGTATTCTATAGAAGATAACAGAAGTTTTACCTAAAGAGAAACAAAATGACTAGGATTAAGAATCAACAGCTATGGAAGTGACATCATCTTAACTTATATCCATAACCATGTTCTTGTGGAATTAATAGAAAGAAAGGACTTACTTTCAAACTTGCATCTCACAAGGAGACTATAGCTGTTTTGGATGCTGACAATCTTTGGTAAGCCTTCAACTTTTGCTGCATGGACAAACTCCATGACACCATATGAAGTTTCATTGGAAACACCTATATACCGTACCTGAAGCCATTTAGCTCTATCAAAAAAATGTTTCTTATTATTTTAGTCTCTTGTATATGTTCAAAAACATTGCAGCTTCATGTCAACTACAGAGTGCAAATGAAATTAACAAATAGCATCAAAGGCAATACGTGTACATTTACCATAAGTTAATGGCAACAGAACAATAAGTGTGTGTGTGTGTGTGTGTAATCCATATGTATACACGTGTGCTTTCTCTCACATGTACTATGAATTTATTTGATATAAGAGAGGTATTATACTGAACCAAGGGAAAAAAATTTCTCGCCGTTTCCAACATATAAGGATTGTCTTTTGATATGATATTTTGCTAAGATTGCACATTGTTTCACTAGATATGAACTGGGTTGACAAGACTTCATTATTTGAAGAAATGAATGATCTTGCACAATTATGCCTAAGTTGCATTGAAATCCTTTTTTTGAAGGTCATTCTATGATAATTACCTTCCCTTCATTAATGAGTTCCTGAAAAGCTTTGAGTTGCTCCACAAACGGCACACTTGGCCTCCACTTTGAAGGATCATAAAAAAATTCACCAAATAATGATACATATCGATCCGGCCTGCAACAATATATAAAATTCTCAATAATGCAACTCAACTGAAAACCAAATCTAGGGGTAATGGCCAGTTAGGTTCAGCCTAGGTCCAAACGAGGCCCAACCCCAAGATTTAGTACTGAAGTTTGTAGTCCCACGCAACCCAATGGAGAACCTGCTGAACCCACCTAAACCCTAACACAACATTGGCCAGGCTTGGATGGTCATATTTTGGATTTTTTGGTATAAAAAATGGACAATATGGAAATTATATTGAACAGTCTCGTCTTTGGGAACTTTGTAGTAATATGGAAACAATTTGAAAATAGGCTATATGGAATTCATGTTGAGATGGAGCACTAACCAATGTATTTGCAATAAATCAATGTAGTCAGTGTTAAGGCGCTTAAGACTTTTCTCTACACTTTCTTTAATATTAGCAGCATCAACCCGCAATGCTTTTGCACTATCACGTAAGTAGCTTGATTTCTCTGAATAACCACAAACTTTTGTAGCCAGTATTACCTGAATCATAAAGCAGGATAGTCCAATGTCAGTCAGTGTTTCCTTGCCAATACAGAAATTTTCTTCCAGTATCATTGTCTTCTCCAATCATAGAAGCTTAAAAGGAAAGCTTCCAGTATATTTCTTAAACATGTTATATGACAATTCTGACCAACCATTCAGAAACTGGGGCAAATTTTATAGTCAAGGATGCCAATAAGTAATGGTGACAAATATTTGGAGTAATATCAACCATGCATCAACTATTATTTGAAGTTGCCTGAAAATGTCGAAGAACAAAGTCCCCATATTATAGGAACTTGATACATCCATAGTTTGAGCTTCCAAGTAAGATATTTATCTTATCAATCAGGTAGCAAATAGAGGCACCATATCTCCTTGACTCCATCTCAGGCTGAAAAGCATTAGCGTGTGAGTTCAAGTATGAGAGCAGCCACTTTGTGCAAAAAAATGCCAAAAGTTAGGTCTGTATCCAGTCCACTGTCAAGACCCCAGATAGCTGTGACATTGAGTAATGGCCTTATATATCTCCTTGACTCTGACAGCAAGTTCAGGCACCAACTATGGTACTGCAACATGTTGGGTTGCTTTGCTAGAAAGTGACTCCATTTTTTCATTTCTTGCAATGTCCTGAACAGTGCTCAAGTAGAATTAAACATTAGCACACTGGTTTTCTTGCTTGGGGGTGTAGAATTCAATTCCCTCTTTTGTTTTGTTTTTTGGATTTTTCCAACTCCTAAAGGTATTGAACCAATCAATGTGACATTACAAAAGGTCTACAGATTCACAATTTGTTCTCTTGTTGCAGATAATTTATTTTGGGAGTTGAAACTTAAAACAACAATAAATGGTGCAAATGATAAGCGCCTTACCATATTTGTCATAAGGTACTCAATGCACAAAGGTTAAGTCAACAAAAGATTTACCTTCTCTACTCTAGGAAAATATGCAAGACCTTAGTAACTAGGGATGCAAGTTGGGCCAGGTTAGGTCGGCTGAGTTCAACCCTAGCCCTCAACCCGAACTTTTGAACTCCCAACCCTAACCCAACCTTCAATTCGACCTAACCCAACTCAATCCAACCTTTCTCCCMTCCTCACAATCTCTCAAGTTCTCTTAATCTTTGATTAAAAGGCCTCAATTCAACTTTCATTACAGTATATTTTATTGGTATTTGTTTGTTTGATGTTTTATTGGTTTCTTAGCACAAAAGTGAAAAAAGGAATGTTTGAATTGATTAGATATATTATGATTTATGATAAATCTCCTATTGAAAATCTAAAATCATAAAATCAGCAATGATAAAACATAAAATTATAAAATGAAAACCACTAGGGTTAGGACATAAGAGTTGAGATAAATTGATTATGATAGTATGTTTTATGTAGTGGGACTATAATACATATGAGCATTAGTAATGGTAGAGTTGGGTTTGGGTTGGGTCAGGTTGCCTTACAGTCAGCCCTAACCCAACCCAAAGTGAAGTTGGGTTGACAAAAGTCAACCCTAACCCTAATCTGATTGTTAATCTGACCCAACTCAACTTGACCTTTCCAGGTTGGGTTCAGGATAACCCAGCCCGAGTTGCAGTCCTGTTAGTAACATAATCCTAGACCTTCTGCAACAAGACTAACTAGTCAAGAAACGCACAACAGACAGTCATTTACTGCACAATACCTTATCACGGGGTTGAGACTTCATCCAGCTAGCAATATAAATATCTGTCCTTCCTTGTGTCTCCTTCTTCATTGGAATGGGGTACTGAAAAGTAGAAGGCAGAAGGTAATATAAACATGTAATTGCAGTTGAATGAGAATAGCCAACATTAATTATGCAAATAAGTTGCAGTATCCGAAATAAACATATGAAAGCAGCTTGCAATTGAAGCTAGGCTGGCATATGCTCAACAGAAACTCTCTATTGGCCAAATGCATGAAAAGTAATTATACGGAATTCATAAAAGCTTCTGCAAATCCAAATATGTGCAATATGTGGGATATGTGCAGACATGATATTGTGTAGCAAATGCACCACTGCCCCTGTTCACAAAATGCACTCTACCATATCACTTGAAATGAATTATAGGGGAAAGCAATGTTAATTTTTGGCAGACACATGGTATGGCGGCACCAACTGCTTGGACTGTTGGTGATGCTTTCTCTAAAGGGATTATTCCAACTGTTGAGTCTAGCAATATATATTGTTAATGCCCCTAAAGTGCCAAGCCAAATGTGCACTCAAACCACTTACACTCTAACTAGATGAGTAGGGAGGGAAACTTTGTATCGGGGGTGCGGTAATGCTAGGATAGCCTTATGTTTGACCCCTTATTGTACCGTGTGATTATCAAACATCAATTGTTTGTCTTAACCCATGGTTTATGGGATAGGTTCTTTTGCACTTTTATTTCATTAAAATCATTGAGTGCTTTTAATATAAAAAATGACTACTATTTTTGCAAAATGTTATGTGTCTATACAATTATTTGGAGTTAAAGATAGTTGGAACTAAATTATATTTGCTTACATTCATACAAAGAATACAATCCATGGATGGGAGAAAAGAAACCGAGCCAAGTCTTAGGTATTCCTTTTAACCAGCAGTCACAAATTCTAAATGCTAAGCAGTGTAATACAGCAAGGGAAACCAGATTTAAATTGTATCTAATAGAATTAATAAAACATTTTATTTTTCAAATTAAGGGAAAAACATCAAAATTGTCACTGGATCCATCCACAACTTAAAGGACTGGCAAGTGCAATGTATTGGATAAAATTAGGCTATTGTACAACTGCAGGGTACTACAAAGTGAATAGGTTTCAATAAAAAAGATAAAGCAGAGCATCGTTCCATAAATTGGTTCCAAGAAAAGAAGTAATTGTTAAAACTGTTAAAATTCTGGAGTTTAGTGCCGCAGGGGCACATTTGTAATTTTACTCTTATTTTTATTATTTCTGGTCGCCCTAATATAATTATATAAATAACAGAAGCTGGCGCCGCCAGCTAAGTTTTTTGACTCCAAAATCTCTCTCTCTCTCTCTCTCTCTTCTCTCTTTTYTCTGTTCTTGCTTTTTACTGATTTTTACCAAGAAAACATGGTATCAGAGCAGCAGATTTGGGATTAGAAGCAGTTTGACCAAGTTTTTTCTCAGTTTTTCTGGTTTTCTCTGTTTCTTGTGGATCGAACCCAAGGAAGAGTACATCGGGTTGACCTGAAAGGATCTCCTGTGCAATTCTTTCCTTTCCCTCTTGGTCATGGGCCAAGAAAACACCTAGGGAAGGGAGAGTAAATGCTGTAAGAGTGTTTTTCTCTCAATTTCTGTGAATGATCCTTTTGTACCCAGGTAAGTGGGTTATGTAGGTCTAATGACCTGTGGCTATTGTGAAAGTGTGATTTCTCAGCTTGTGTGGATTGAGTGATCCTGTTTTGTGCCCAGAAAGGTGGGCTGTTCAGGTCTGAATGATCTGTAACTACTGTGACAGCAGCTTTCTACTTATTTGTTAAAGACTGCAGTAGCCATGTGGTTAAAATCTGGTGAAGTGTTACTCGTAGGGACTGTTCAGACCTGGAATTGATTTGCTTTGTCTCTGGAACTGGTTCAGTAGGGTGGTAGTGTGAGAACAAGCACTGAATTGTGATTGAACTGTGGCTGAACTGAGAACAAGAACCTTGACTGAACTGTGACTTAACTGAGAACAAGTACTTGTCTTCTGAGGATTCTGGTATGTCTGGTGCGTCTTCCAGCCAAAGTGGAGAATTTGACATGAGTTTTCCCATGGCTGTGATTCCTTTTGATGGTCTCAATTATCTAGAATGGTCAAGGGGAATCAAGCTTTACATAACTGCAAGGAGGAAAGTGGGTTATGTTAGAATTAGGGGTAGATTCGAGCTGAGCCGAGCCGAATACTTGGCTATTCGAGCTTGGCTCGCTGGAATAGTCTTAGGCTTGAGCTCGATTTGAGCTAGAGACTTGAGCTCGAGCTCGACTACAAGCCAAGATTTTTCTAAAAAATAAAAATTATACATATAGTTTTTTTTATTTTACATACAACAAAATAAGAATTATAAAAATTATTTATTATTATATATATAAAATAAAAATATACTTATAAAAATTGTTTTTATTTTACATACAAAAAATACGAATTATAAAAATTATTTACTATTATACATAAAAAATAAAAACACTATATATAATAAAAATTATTTATTATTGTAGATGTTAAAGTGAGCCGAATAGGGGTAGTTTAGTCAACTCATGTTTGTTAAGTACCTTACTTATGTGGCAGTTTTATTAGGGATGCTCTGCCCCACACTTAAGTAAGGGGAGTTTAGTCTTTGTAAACATTATTAGAACCTAATAAACATTAGGGGGTCGAATGAATGAGAGATTAATCAGTTTCGACTAAACCCTCCTGTTCTCTCTTTCTCTCTTCTTCTTCTTCTTCTTCTTCTTCTTCTTCTTCTTCTTCTTCCTCTTCCTTCTCACCTGGTTCGAGTTACTGTAGCTGCATTCAAAACATGGTATCAGAGCAAGGCTCTTGACCTGCTTCAGTTGGTAAAGCATCTCAGCTGTGTTCGTGACACCTTCTTCTTCGTTTCTGGTTAGTTAATGGAGAGAACTGGTTAGCCCTAGGTCTGTGACATCACAGCTCGTTTCTCTCTGCTGCGCACAGTCTTCTTCATCAAGGAAAGTGATTTYAGCAGTGAATGGTTGGTTGATACTCTCAAAGGAAGATTGGTTATCTAGTCCTTTTGTGTTGCTGGTATTTCTGGGTAGAAACCCTTCAAGAATCAGTTAGTACTGATTAGAACCTAGAGAACTAGGTTCATTGTTGCCCTAGAACGGGTTGTGTACAGTAGCCGAATGGTGTAGGGGCTGCTGTAAGTGGTTGAGTGGGTTAGGGTTGCTGCAGGTGGCCAAGTGGTGTAAGGTGTAATGCAGTGACCTAGCCAAGTTCTTTGTGGTTGTGTATTGCCCTTTTAAATGTGTTAAACAAGTCTGAACTGGGTGTAGCAGATTTGACTGTGTTATGGTGCTTGTGGTGCACAACTTCTATTGAGTGATTGTAAGAGGGCCTACATGTGATTAGTGAGTGCTAAATTGATGCTTATGTGGTTCGTGGGTTTGTGAAGTCAGCAGTAGTGTGAATAAGGACAAGGCGTGGGCTCTCACTGTTGTGTTTAGGGGCTGCAGTAGGTGCTGAAATATCAAACTGTGAATAACATCAGTTAGCTTGTAGCTGAGAAGTCAGGTTAGAGGCAACTGTGAAAGAGTACAATGGCAGCAAAAGGAGATGGGAACAATGATCAGAAACCTAGTGTGGTGGTTTCCCCCGACAACCTAGGGGTACAGATGACCTCAATTAAACTGAATGGGGAAAACTACGTTCCATGGGCGAAATCTGTGGAAGTTTTTCTCAAGGCAAAGAGGAAAGTGAAGCATGTAAAAGATGGGAAGCCAACGGCTGACTCTCCAGGGTTTGATGATTTGGAACAAGAAGATGCTCAAATCATGACTTGGCTGTGGAATAGTATGAAGCCCAAAATTAGTGCCAACTTCATGTTCCTTGATACGGCTAAGGATATATGGGAGCATGCTAAGAAGCTATATTCTGGACAAGATAACACAACAAGAGTATATCAGCTTTATCAGCAGTACTTTGATTTACAACAAAGAACCAAAACACTGGAAGAGTACTATGTCTACATGAAGAATATAAGGAATGAACTCAATGTATATCATCCCCTCACTCCAGATATTAAAGTCCAGCAACARCAAARGGAACAACTAGATGTTACAAGATWTTTAGTGGGGCTGAAGTCGGAGTATGAACCAGTTAGAGCCCAAATATTAGGAGGCTCTTCTCTTCCTACACTTGAGGAAGTATTCTCAAGGCTTCGTAGAATT